ACCCTATTCGGCCTGTACGTCAACGACGCGCCGCTTCCAGTTGAAAAAATACCGGCATTCAACATTGCTGGCACCTAATGTTCGCGAATGATTTCGCTTACTATGCAAAGTCGGCGGACATAAGGAAATCGGTGAGATATCTGAATGATTGCCTCCCCGGGATTCCCAAATGGCTGAGTCATAAAAAGCTCGCCCTTAACCTTGACAAGTGGGTAGCCGTCAACTTCACTCGACAGAGGGCCGACTCTGATGAAGTCGTGAGCTTGGTAGACACGCATCTACCTCGGCAAAAGACGACGAAGTATCTTGGTGTGAAGCTTGATAGCAGCCTCCGCTAGCACGCCCACGCCAAATACGTAAGCCAAAAAATAACTGCCCGAACTACCCTCCTACGCCCACTCCTTCGAGCCCCCGCACTCCATCCTACCCTCAAACACCGCCTATTCACCGCCTGCGTGCGGTCCATTTGGACGTATGCCTGCGAGGTATTCGCGGCGGCACCTCCCTCCACCCTCCGCCCGATTCGCTGGGCGGAAAACCGTGCTGCGCGCCTCGCGGCGTACCCACACCTCCCCCCTCCCCCACCCAATAGATACCCTAGAAACGCAGACGTGTTCGGAGTTCTGGGTGTAAAAAAACAATTCTAGCCGGAGCTGCAAAGACGGTCAGAAACGCCGCTTACAAGGGCGCTTGGTCCGAAGGCGCCGCGCATTCTGCGCCGACACCGGCGCCAGAGGCGAACAGCGACGCGCCATCGGTCACGCCTACGAAAGGACCGTAAGCGCGTCGCCTTCTCCTTCTTGCGCACTGCCCCATTGACACGCTGGCTGCCTTGTGCGCAGCTAGGCGGCAGCCCGAACGCGAGGGGCGAAGACTCGCCATCGGCCGAGGGACGGCGCGGCGAACGCGACGCCGCCGCCCCACTTGCCACGTTTCCCAATGCGGCCGCGACCGCCACGAACACCTTTTGAGCCAAGTCGTGCCGTGTGCGAACAGGTAAAGTAGTGAAGTGCGAAAACGAATGGCGAAGAATGAATGGTTATGCCTATATATGAAACCAATTATGAATGATGAGAGGAGAAGAAAAGAGAGAAGAAAAGAGAGAGAGAGGAGAAAGCAGAGAGAGAAAAGAGAAAGAAAGAGAGAGGAGAGGGAGGAAAGAGAGAAGAGGAAAGGAAAGAGAGAGAGAGAAAGAGAGAGAGAGAAAAGAGAGAGAAAGAGGAGAGAGAGAAAAGGAGAAGAGAAAGACCGAGAGAGAAGACGAGAGAAAGAGGAGAGAAGAAAGGACGGAAGAGGGAAAAGACGAGAGAGAGAAGGAGGAAAAAAACAAGAGAGAGAAAGAAAGAGAGAGAGAAAAAAGAGGAGAGAGAGAAAGAAAGATGGAGAGAAAGAGACGAGAGAAAGAGATGAGAAAGAGAAGAAAAGAAAAGAGAAGAAAAGAGAAGAGAAAGAGAGGAGAAAAGAGAGAGAAAAGAGAGAGAGAGAAAGAAGAGAGGAAAGAGGAGAGAAAGAGAGGGAGAGAAAGAGAGGAGAGAAAGATGAGAGAGAGAAAGAGGAGAGAGAAAAGAGAGAGAAAGAGAGAGAAAGAAGAGAAAAAGAGAATGAGAAAGAAGAGAAAGAGAGAGAAGAGAGAGAAAGGAGAGAGAGAGAGAGAGAAAGGAGAAGAAAAAGAGAAAGAGAGAGGAAAGAGAGAGAGAAAAGAGAGAGAAAGAGAGAGAGAAAGAGAGAGAGAGAAGAAGAGAGAGAGAGAGAGAGAGAGAGAAGCGAGAGAGAGAAATCACACATGTATAATGATAAACATTTTTTGGTAATTAATAGAAACCCATCTTAGTGTAAGTTAGGAATGCCAAAGTGCAAATAATTTATCCCTCTAGCTGCTGAAGCCTCAAGGCAGCTGCCTAATGTACAAATTAAAATAAATAAATTCCCCTTCTCCGCAAAATTACTGTGACGGGGGGACAAAAAAATAAGAAAAAAAAGCGGCACTTCGCGCCGCTCCGGCGTTAACTAGGCAGAATTCTGGAGGCTTTCTTGAAAAGTGATGTCTTATAAAAGTGAATTGGTAATTATGCGGTGGATAGACTCAAGAATGTTTATAGTGAACGCGAGGGTCGTAGGCTCGAGACTGGCCGTGACTTGGATCCGGGCGAGAGAAGCGAGAGCTTGCCTTTGAAAGTAAATTGACATTATGATGCGGCGGAGGCATATGAAGGGCGAACCATGAAAATCGCATCTCCGTAAGTTTTATTCATTTCTATCAGAGCACGTACAGTAATTAGGGCTTAAGGAGACTTCACCCGCCGCCGCCTCCACGCTTCTCTGAGGGTTTACGGAGTATCCTACTTTAACCGAAAAAAGAATCAAAAGGCCAACTGGAAAAACTCCAGCAACACTAGGGCCAGGGAAAACTCTACAATGTCTGCCCATTGAACCAAAACCATCAACAAACATTATTTCAAATGAAGATTTTAAATTTTCATGTATATGCTTCATGAAAGGGGTACAAATTGACACAAGTACTTTATTTAAATCTTTTACAATTGTGCTGCCTCAGTTTTACATTGTGAATTATATTTCTCAATAAAATTCTCCAGAGATTTTATCATTTGAATGCCTTCTGGCTTCCCATACACCTTTTAAAATTGTATTTGTTGAAAGCCCATCACAAAGAGGGCTTTCAACAAATTCAGTGCAGCAATTCATAAAAAATATTTGCTGATTATTAGTTCTACAGTATTTAGAAAAATGGTAGAACTTTGAAAATTAGTTATTCCAAAACAATTGTTTCAATCTTATTGACCGTGGCTCAATTATCAGCATCATTGCTCTCATTATTGTTGCTATGGGCAGCTGTAAAAAGGTACATTATTGCATACTCAACATGTACTTTCAACAATTTTGTCCTTCAATTACTCTGAATCTAATGGTGCTGTTGGAATGAATCAAAATGCATTTAGAGGGGAATTTTATAAGCTCTCAGGAATGTTGAATTCACTTCAGTGCATTATTTACTCACTGCTTTTGATATATTTGTGAAAAACAGAGTTCACTATTAAACTTTACTCTAAGAAGTAGAATGGGAGACAGGTGAAAATTTTGTAACATCTCAGTGAGCCATAGATATTAACTTTTTTCTTGTTTTGAAGGCCATGAGTACAACATTTCATTAAGATATGAATAAAACTAGATTTTTATAAAAAGAAACAAACAATCCTTTTAAAATTAGAACAGTCTAGATTATGGCTGATAAAACACTACCTTTTAGTGAAACCCATATCGAAATCAGTTCATCCCGGTGAATTCAGTTGTAGAGATGAAGTTGGATAAACAATTGAACTATTGAGCAATTGAAACAAACTGAGCAATTGAATTATAACATCCAAATAAATTTGTGTTTTGAGATGGCAGTTATTTTGAAATCACCAACAGACCCTCCAATTTTATTTATATTAACTAGCTGATAGACCATGTGCTGTCTTAGTGTTTATTAATCACAGTCATCTAGAGGACGCAAAAGGAATATTTTCTATCTATAGAGTACCTGATCCCCTCTCATTCACCCTGGTCTAATGCATCCTGTACCTTCTCCATCCTGCTCAATCTCACTGAGCCCTGTCCCACCCATCATGAACTTATCTTGTATCTCTTTACCCTACTCCACCCAATTCCCTCTATATCTCTTGCCCCACCCAACCTGCTCTGCCATATTTGTTATCTTCCCCAACACTACCACCATCTTTCCTAGAAAAGATGAAAACAGATGCATTATTACATACTCTCACACATTTATAATATTCATTTGGACCTTGAATTACTCAAAGCCTGATTACAATGGACAGGATTTCCATACACTATAAAATGCTAAAATGTGCATGCAAACATACAGTATCAAATAACCATACATGCACGATGTGGGTAAAAATATGCGCAATCAAATTTTAGTCTAGTATATTGTTTGTTATATTGCCTTTTGTAACAGTGAACAATTAACAATTTTTTCTAAACTTAGAGACATGTTTTGACTGGAGAAAATGCTTTCTATGCGACAAGACGTAATTGGAGTATACATCAAAGATGATATCTGAGCCAAAGTAAAGTTAGATTCTGCGTTTTTTGATTTTTCACCACAAATAGTGCTTTTTAGATTTTAAAGAAATTTCAAAATATGGATTTGAGTTTAACACTTTGTATAAAATCTCCTTAGCTGTCACACTCACATTTCCAAACACTAATAAGTGTTTGTGCAAAGGTATTTTAATGTCTTCCACAATTTTTAATGACTCCACCAGAGGTAACCTGTTGTTTCTAATTTTTGAACCAGTATAGGTGAATTGAAAAAAAATTGACTTAATATATATTTTTATATTTTTATATTTAAGTTTTTAAAGTATATTTTATTTTTTCTGCACATAAGTGAATTGGAAGTCGGCTCTTGAGTATTTCTCCCTCTCATTGTCAGTTAAAAAATGAAACTGAGTTGTGGTTTCTTCTTTATGCAAGAGAAAATAATAATTTTTAAAAATGTAGTTTAACTTGTGCCTGAGAAAACACTACCTTTTAGTGAAAACCACATTGAAACCAGTTCAGCCATTCCAGAGATTATCTTGGATGAACAGGCAGACAAAAATTGTAGAAACAATTCAGTTAGTTTTCATATTATCTAAAGTATTTGTGATTATAAAGAAGCAATTATTTTGAAATCACAGATGGATATTTTATTTATAAAGATTAATTTCAAAACTTTACAAATCGAAATCACAATATTAATACATACAATTTTTTTATATTTGGTATGGGAAGTGAAATATAAGTGGTAAATACTATCATTAAAATAATAACAATAATAATAATAATAATAATAATAATAATAATAATAATAATTAGTAATATAATATTAATCAATATTATAATATTACTATTTTATTAGTAATAAAATTATTCTTTTGCTTTTCCACATACTTTGCAGCAAACATAATGAAAAAACAAGTAAAGATATGTCAGTTTCTTTTTTGTTTATTTGTTTCTTTCCATGATGTCAAGCAAATACTTTTCAATAATTTGAGAAGCTTAACAATGATCATAAATAAGATAAGGAAACCAACACTGAGTATAGTAATTACATCTAACAGAAAATACTGATACCATGACAACTCAAGAGCTGCTGAACGTAAATGATCTGCACCTTTGTTACGAATTACATACTCTGTCCACCATACTGCTGTATTAAGAGGAGTATCAGGACGATCTCTAAATTGATTTGAAAGAACTTTCATTCTTTCTTTATAGCTGAAAAATATATATCGTTTATATAATTACTATGTAGATTCACAATTTTCAAAACTCTAGTCCTTGTGTGCTCTCTAATTCATTGTTACATAGATAAACTTAAATTCATACCTTGGATCATAGAGAACTTTAGTCAGGGTACTGAGTACTTCATTTGGTGTGATATTGGATATATCTAGTTTCTCTGCCACTCCCCTCACTACATTTCTTTGAAGGTTGATGAATTGATCAGCTAAGAAAGGTATCCCTACCACAGGAACACCATGATACATCGCTTCTTGAGTGCTTAGTAAACCTCCATGTGTTATAAACAGACGGGTGTTGGGATGTCCTAATAACAATATTGCTAATACAGTCCTTCTAATCAACATAAATTTATTCTAAAATCAGAGCCCTTCTCAAAATCACTAGAAAAAAACACTAAAATGTGACTATGTATTTACTTACTGAGAAAGGGTTAATTTACCTAGAATATCATTTTGTGGAAGCCACTTGGCGATTTTTACATTTTTAGGTTGATCAGGAAGTGAATCAGATTCCCATTTCCACAGAACTTTTTGTTTCAGCTGTGCCAAGGCTTCTAGAAGAATTTTTCTTTTTCCTCCATCCAATTTGTCAGATCGAACATTTGATCCCAGACTGAATAAAATCACTCCCTCTGGGGCATCATCAAGATATTCTTGTAATTCCTGGAATATAATAATTAGAGATAGGTTTTTCATTCACTATAAAATTCTAAAATATGCATGCAAACATGATCTAATTGATCTAATATTATCTAATTGCCATACGTGTACAATGCAGGGTAAAGACACGCACAATCAAATTTTAGTTTAGTGTATTGTTTGTTTCATTGTCTTTTGTAACAGTGCATAATTAACAATTTTTTAAAAATTTTACTCTCACAAATTCAGCCTTTTATTAGAAACAAATGTTTTGAATGGAGAAAATGCTTTCTACACCACAAGACATAAATGAAGCATTCATAAATGATGAAATCTGAGCCAATGTAAGGTCAGATCCTGAATTTTCTGATTTTGCACCACAAATAATATTTTTCAGATTTTAGAGAAATTTCAAAATTAGATTTAACACCCCCCACACATACGCACGCACATGTGCCCGCCCAACCACCCACAAATATATATATATATCTGTGTGTGTGCGCGCGTGCGTGCGTGCGTGCGTGCGTGCGTGCGTGCGTGTGTGTATTCACTGGCAAGCTTTTAAAGACATATTTAATTTTTATTTTTTTCTGCACATAAGAAGACCTCCACAGCTTGGCTCTTGATTATTTTTACTTCTCATTGTCAGTTATCAAGTGATATTGAGTTATGGCTTCCTATACCTTCATTATCCTTTGTGATTTCATCAGTTGGTGTTCATTTATGTCTTGATTGTTGCAGATTTTAGAGAAATTCTTATCTGGGTCATTCCATGTCAAATCGCACAAATTTAAAGAAAATTTGTCCTTGATGTTCCAAATTTTAAAACATTTTCTGCGAAGAGTATAAGCAAAAATAGTATTATTATGCAGATTATATTAATTTTCAACAATTTTTAAAAAAATGTGCGCATTACTAAAGTTAATCATTTTTAACTTGTGTTGTAAGTACGACATTAAAGAACAAAAGATGCTATTTGATGTATATATTGAGTTCATTAAATGTTTTAAAACCCTGTCTTGACATATTTTATTTTATTCCCCCCTCCATGTCAACTGCTAGTGTCATCCCTCAAGCACGTGCCATTCAGCAGTAGACGATTAATATCAATATACTTTCACAGAGCAATAAATAGAATATCCCTTCACATCTTTCTATATACCGTATACATATGCATGACTTTCATAACCAAATAAATTCAAATCACAATGTGTTGAACGTATTCAATTTAGTATTGAACGGACGGAATATTTATATTAGCAAAGAGTATAAGAGAAGGTGATACATGTGACACAGATGTTGATATTTGTTTTACATCACTTTACAGAGAATATCGTTAATTCATCTTTTAATACAAAAATTAAACTCTGTATTTTCTTAGTGATTTCTACTGTTTTTTTATAATATCATTCCTCAGTCTAAGTATTGTTCAGCAACAGTGTTCTTTCTAAGTATTGTTCAGCGTTGCTAAAAATATAAAGGAAAAGCTTCACATTGTCATCAGCTCACTTAAATAACTTCCTGGGTAAATTAATAGGTTCCTGTCAGGGTTGAATGCTAGCTTTTACCGATAATATTACATTTGCCGCACCCCCTTCGTCTCATGGCCCCTTTCCATTAGAAGCGAAGCGAAGAAATGTCACTCAGCACTCACATTGAAGGCATCTTTTTCTGAGTCGAGGATCTACTAGTTCGTCAGCGAGCTCCGGGCAAGTATGTGTTGTAGTTCCGAGAGCAAAACTGTGGCCATAGCTGCACAGAGAGCAAAATGTAGTAGCTTCCGTAGCTGTTGAGCAAAGTTTGACAGCGGAAAGGCTCAACTGCGAGGATCTACAACACCTGCTGGTGCAGAGAAATGGCCAGCTGTTCCTAGAAAACATCTTGTATACCTGCGCAATCAACTGGTAGACGCAGTCATCGGGCGACGAGGCCCCGCCGCCATGGACGAGGCGTGTAATGACGCCACTCCCACTTGACGACGCCCATGGCGAGGGCCGATGGATTTTCATCGCGTCTGACAAGAAACGCGCAGCACAGGAGGTCAACCTAATTTCCTCCACTGACGCGAAAAGATCAACCAACGACGACTCACACCAGACTACTACATCTGACAGCACTGGAGAAGACAACTACCAAAGCGTCACTTCACTAAAATTGGTGTTTGATGGCAGCCCCTTCAACTCCAATCATATCACTTCCGCCTTCGCCGAGCTCCAAGACCTGCAAAATTAAAAGTTCAATTTTCCCAAAGTAGGAATGTAAGCCCAAAGATCCCACCACCTCCACCAATCCAAAACCGTTTTTGCAAAACTCCCCGTACCAGAACTTAACATGGAAGTAGACAAAACTGCAGACGAAGCTGACCCCCCACCCACACTGACAGACAACAAAACCCTCCCATGACCGCGACAAACAGCGAAGGTAGGATCCATTCTCATTGACAACAACGAACTGACAATTATCCAAAGACTCTTACAGGACTTACAAAAGTCTGCCCAAGACGGCTTTTACGCCAAAAGCACCAGAAAGGAACTAGTACTACAACCACGAAACGCTAACTTAAAATAGAAAACTACTTAAAGCACTAGAAGACATAGAACGTACTACAGGTTTAAGACAGAAATACTTCCAGGACAACCTTTACTATCACCACCTCAGAAGGACTGAAAAACGACGAAACAGTCTGGTAATCAAAGGACTATTCCCCAACACACCCCTAGATGACGTCAAAAGTGAACTTACAAAACATAAAATGACATTCCACCACATCTCAAAAATGAAACGTCGCAACCCTAAAAATTCACTCTTAGGACTAGGACTACACGTCATCGAGACTAACAAGACAGACACTACCACTATCAAGAACAAATTACGCTACCTGCTACTACAATTACGCTACAACTACTAAAGTGACAGTTCAAGACTACAACCAGACAACACACATCCCACGCTGCGACAACTGTTAACTACTGTACCATACCAAACACTACTGCCACTGATAGGCTATTTACGGGAAGTGCAGCGAGAATCACCACACTTTGTCTTGCCTTGTCTTGACTATTTCAAAAGTGCTAACTGCCAAAATGGCCACCCATCTTACACGCCCCCTACCCGACACTGCTAAAATCCAAAGAAGACACACGTAAATCAACCCAACTTCAACAGTCACAAACCCAACAAGGACAATCCAACACTCCCCCTTCACTCAATGAATTCTCACAGCTTAGCAACGCATCTGCATCACTACCCACTAACCTTACCCAAAACCAATAATACGCAAACGTCACTAATAACTCATCTAACTCCCCTTCATCTCCTAATTCCTTTTCTGAATTAAAAGAACTCTTCACTCTTATTAAATCATGTGACCTTATCAAAATCATATCATCCATCAAATTAATCATCGTCATCGCCAAAGAACCAGACAACATCATGACAAAACTAATCTCCATTGCCACAAAAATCATAGACCTATTCTAAATTCACAAGACAAATGATTACAAACATATACTTCAGGAACGAAAACGGTGAACACGCCCAGAGGCTATAGGACATTAAACAATATTTTAAAGACTACTCCGTCGGAATACAAGCAATTATAGAGACGCGCTCCCCAAACAGGACAAAAATTTACCCTACCAGATTTTCTGACTTACCGAACGGACCGACTGACACTTGGAGGCGGCACCGCTATTTTTATCAGAAAAGTCATCCCACACACTCCTCTCCCTCCAGCTCCTACAACGCACATGGAAAAACCCGGATCCAAATCGGAACACCCACGTACCAATAAACATTTCCTCAGTTTACAAATCACCCCAAAAAACATTATTAGCGCAAATCTTGAGATACTAACGACAGACAAATGCTTACTCATTGGCGATTTAAATTCAAAATCTACTATATAGGGGTGCCGACACAAAAACACCAACGGACACAAACTGAATGACTACCGAACAGCAGAACTGAATGATTACTAAACCGCAAACCCACACCTCATTCTCTCCGTACCTTCAGAACCAACTTACTTAGTATGATATCCTCCACAAGACATCCTAGACTTTGCCATCCACTCACACAACATCAATATTATCACCCCCACCCGAAACAAGAACTCACTTCTGACCACTTCCTCATTCCAGACACACTCTCCTACAGCAAAAACATGACATTTACTGCGTATCAAACAGACTGAACAAAATTTAAACATCTAATTTCCATAGATAAAAAACCATTTTTGAAAATTCTTCAGACATCGACAAGCAATAGACCATTTCAACCTACCAATAAATGGAGCATTGCATAAAATCTCTATCAGCATAAGCTTCCAAAAACCTCAACTCCCAGACAAAATACTTGTATACGTAATCCGACTTTTATAAAATCTTAAAAAACACTTTACAAGACCCGTACTCCACAAGACAGGCTGATCTACCATTACAAACAGCTACATGAGACACTCAAAGACTACAAGAATGAAAAATGGGCTACAACAATTTCTGACATTATAAAGAACCCCCATATAATTTGGACAGTTATAAAACAACTCTGAACAAGACTGAAGCAATTTTTCAACTAACACTACCCGACGGAACAAATACATACGTCCCACAACAAAAGACAAACTTATTCGCAGCAAAATTGGAAAAATGATTTACATCACCTGACACACTCCTTCCAACACAACAATCCTTCATATTCTCCGTACCCCCATCTCCTTTGCCACCATCAGGAAATATGGACAATAACAGACAAGGGAGTGACAGACGAACTAACTTTACTCGACGATACCAAAGCGACAGGATCCGACGGAGTAAAAACGACAACACTGAAAATGACGATGAACGCCATCAACTTCCTGATTTCGATATTTAACGCCTGACTACGCTACGCCTACTTCCCCTCTATCTGGAAGACTGCTATAATTAAACTCTACCAAAACCTTGAAAACCTCATAAAGACCCCGATAACTACAGATCCATTAGCTTAGTAGCAATCATTGACTAAATTTTCGAGAAAATACC